ATACCTGGGTCTGGCAGCATACACAGGTAACAGTCACCCTCGGCACTAACAGACAATGGATACATGGCAGAAAGGATAGCATCATAATCAAAAGCAAAGATGTCTACACCCTGCTTGAGCAGGTCTGCCTAGCGTAGGAGCTCAGCCGCGTCGGGAAACTCTGTGCGGAAGGCGTCGGTAAGACGAGAGAAGCGGCGGTACTGCCTCCCGCATGTCTGACCAGTGCGGTCACCTGTGCGAATGACATACGGGCAGGGACCACTACCCCGAGACGCCCCACGCTGAGCAAACCACTCATGTAGTTCCTGGGGCGAAAGCTGACGCTGCTGTTGCTGCCTCTGACCACCGCCAAGGCCTCCCCTCTGGCTGGTACCACCTCGGCCGCCACCACTGCCACCACCTCCACTCCCACTGCCGCCACCACTGCCGCCGCCACTACCACCACTGCCGCCACTACCGCCACTACCGCCACTGCCGCCACCGCCGCCGCCACCTACACCTCCACCCCCACCACCACTCCCTCCGCCACCACCGCCCCCTCCACCGCCGCTACCACCTCCACTGCTGCCTCCACCTCTGCCGGCCCCACTGCTCCTGCCTCCCCTGCCCCTGCCGCTGCGGCGCCTCCCACTAGGGGCAGACGCAGCTCCTACCTCCTCAGCACGAAGGTAGTCAACAGCTTCAGCAGAGGCGACTGAGGGGAGAAGGGGGGAGGGCAAACACCCCTCAAAGAAGGGAGTGCGAGGAGTGCCACGAGAAGCGCCTACAGCGACTATGCTAGTCTCAGCTGCAAGGAGGTGCTTGTCGAGCAGGTCGACAGTAAGGTCTGTGGGGTCAAGGGCGAGAAGGAGGTCCCTGACAGCGCTAAGAGAGTCAAGGAGGCGGGTGACTATGAAGTAGAGAGTGATGTACATGGGAGGAGGGTTCTTGGCGAGAAACTCATCCGGAAGTGCAGCGCGGTAGCGAGTGTCACTAAAACAAAGGTGAGTGACGAGGTTGGCTACTGTGGCAAAGTCGGACAGCTCTGGAAACAGGTACGACAGGAGAAGGCAGCCTAGAGCAGCAGTGGCCGGGGAGGAGTAACAAGCGACTACAGCGTCGTACAGTGCTTTCACAGTCTTATGCTGTCCGAAGTGAGCGCGTTCGGCTAATGGCAGGTGGTTGCAAACGGCTAAGCGAGCACCTGCGTCACGAGTAAGCCACTGTGAGCGAGTCGTACTGTCAGCTGTGGTGGCATGGGCGAGAGAGGCGCCAGACGTGAGGTCAAACAGTGAAATACCGTCCTTAGAGTTGGTCAGCAGGTACAGCTGTAAGTCGTCTAGCCACGCATTGAACTCTATCGGGCGGCCCTCCGAATCGAAGGTGAGAATGTTCAGAGTGGCCATAGCGGGCAGAGCCGTCGGGCGCGCAAGCAGTAGAGCAGCACGCAGGCAGGGCTAGGCAGGTGAGCACGCTAGCAGCAGTGCAGTAGCGAGCGGCGCACGGCAGGGCAGGGCGCGCGGCAGGGCAGGGCACGCGGCAGGACAGGGCGCGCGGCAGGGCAAGGCGCGCGGCAGAGCAGGGCGCGGCACTCAGGCAGGGTGCGCGGCAGGGCAGGGCGCGCTGGAGGGCAGGGAGGGCAGCAGGGCAAGGCGCGCGGCGGCGCGGCTTGCGGGCAGGGCAGGGCACGCGGCGCGGCGCGCGGGCAGGGCAGGGCGCGCGGCGGCGCGGCTCGTGGGCAGGGCAGGGCGCGCGGCGCGGCGCACGCGCAGGGCAGGGTGCGCAGCGGCGAGGCGCACGGGCAGGGTAGGGCGCTCGGTGCGAGCGGCGCGCGGGCAGGGCAGCGCGCGCTGCGGCAGCGCGATGCGCGGGCAGGGCAGCTCGCGCGGCGCGGGCGGCGTGCGAGAAGGGGGACGCGGCGGGCGGTGCTCAGGCAGGGCAGGGCACGCGGCGCGTCACGCGGGCAGGGCAGGGCGCACTGCAGCAGACGGCGCGCGAATCACCAGGGCGCGCTGCAGCAGGCAGCGCGCGGGCAAAGCAGTGTGCGCTGCGGCGGGCGGCGCGCGAGTAGGGCAGAGCGTGCGCAGGCAGCGCGACGCAGGGCAGGGCAAGGCAGGGCGGCTCGATCACAGCGGCGCGACGGGTGGGGTAGCGCTACTCGGTGGGCCCTAAGAAACCGGTCCTAGGCTAGGACCTGCTCTGAAACCATGTCAGAAATAACGAACAAGAATGGAATGACTAACAGCAGGATGGGTACAAGTGCTAACCCTAATTGGGTTGTACCCCATATAGGCTACCCCACTACAGCCTAGCAACATATAAGTTTGACATGTCATTCGGTGGGTCAGGCGAGCTGTGTAACCTGTCAATAGAGGGCACGTGCGCAACTAACTCCCAGCGTTTCCCTACTACTTGATCTGTTTCTACTGCTCTGCTCCCTCCTTTCCATTTGCGTTTTCTGGGCATTCGCTCTTACAGTCCCCCTGCCGACTGCAAGCGAAGCAACGCCCTTTGAACGGTGCGGCAGCAGCGTTCGCGGCGATGGCGCATATCGTAGCGTGCTCGTTTGGTTCCCCGAGGCCGGTGTTCCCAGTTGCTGTAGTTATAGGACCCCGTTCTCAGACGGCGGAGAAAATCAAGTTTTTTAGCCATGGCAAGAATTTCGTTGAACTCTGTGACGCCGGGAAGCATGATCACTTGTGCGATTTCGTGTTTTAGGCCACCGATATAGCGGTTGATGCGCTCAGCTTCATGCATGTATCCCACCTGCTCCCATAGCGCAAGGAATATGCTTGTGTAGTCTTAAACGGAACTAAGCTGGCGCCAAGTGCGGAGCTTCTGACGCGCGGAAATTGACGTCGTGATGGGCTCGAATCTCCCGCGTAGACCTGCGCACCACATGTCCCACGTGCGATACTGGGCTACCTCCACGAAATACGACGGCGCCCAGGGTCCAGTTGGTCCTTCCCGTGGCGGTAGAGTCTGGTAGTTGCTCGGCTTCGTGACGTTGACGCGCCACCAATCCATGGCGGGTCCTCGCAGTAACGACGCGGCATATCGGGTCGAAGAAGACGTTCATCGTGAAAATCCACGGCTGAACCGCCTAACTCGGGTCAAAGCAAGGCGGACGCTGCGGCTTTAGCGCCGCAATTTCCTCGGTGCTTTCTTGCAGTTGGTGCTCTTGCGTGAGGCTTGCAAGGTTGATACGTTCTGCCATGTCGAAGGACGTCGGCCGGTCTAGGTGCTAGGCGCAAACGTGGCTAGACGCGCATACGAGAGAGCGTGAGGACAGCGGCTCCTAGTACGCTAAGGGGCGTAAATCCATTCGAGTGATGTTACAATCCTAAACAGGACTTAGCGAAGGATCATCTCAGGGTTGATCGTAAGTTGAGTTTGTTGCAGCGGAAGTGTTGACCTCAGGTCAGAGTGAATGTAATTGACTGAGATGATAAAAAGCATGCATACATCGTGTCAAACATTATATATGTTACTGTTGTGTAGGCTACAGCTGGTTAGCCTTTAGGGGGTACATTACTCTAGGGTTTCCTACTTGTGCTCCCAATCTTGTTAGTTCAATCATTCTCGTTCACTTCTAGATTCTAACATGGTATCCGACGCCTAGGTCAGGACCTAGGACCGACGTTGGTTTGGGCCCACCGTTCCGCCGCGCCGTCGAGCGCCCCTACTAGCGCCGTCGAGCGCCCCTTCTAGCGCCGTCGAGCGCCCCTTCTAGCGCCGTCGAGCGCCCCTACTAGCGCCGTCGAGCGCCCCTTCTTGCGCCGTCGAGCGCCCCTTCTAGCGCCGTCGAGCGCCCCTTCTAGCGCCGTCGAGTGCCCCTACGAGCGCCGTCGTGCGCCCTCGGACAGCCGCGCGCGCCGCCCGTCAGCCGCACGCGCAACCGCCCGCACAGCCGCACGCGCAGCTGCCCCAGCCCGTCGCGTCGCCCTTGCGGGCTGCCCTAGCCCGTCGCGTCGCCCCTGCGGGCTGCCCTAGCCCGTCGCGTCGCCCTTGCGGGCTGCCCTATCTCGTCGCGTCGCCCTTGCGGGCTGCCCTAGCCCGTCGCGTCGCCCTTGCGGGCTGCCCCAGCCCGTCGCGTTGCCCTTGCGGGCTGCCTTAGCCCGTCGCGTCGCCCCTGCGGGCTGCCTTAGCCCGTCGCGTTGCCCTTGCGGGCTGCTCTGGCTCGTCGCGTCGCCCATGCGGGCTGTCCCAGCCCGTCGCGTCGCCCTTGCGGGCTGCCCTAGCCCGTCGCGTCGCCCCTGCGGGCTGCCTTAGCCCGTCGCGTCGCCCTTGCGGGCTGCCCCTGTCAAAATATATTTATATCTATTTAGTAATCTGCCTGTAGTGTAGCTGTTGTATGGTGCAATTCCCTTGTATGGTGGTGCACCTCTTTCACATTTGTTAGTTTGCTATATGTACCTTGTGTGCTATAGTGAACTCATCCATTCTCGATTCTCCTTGACACCCACTTGGCACGAACTCCTCGACACCTACTTGGCCTAGGCTACTAAGCCTAGGCCCCTAGTTAAACCCGGTTACGAGTTAAATAAGTGTCGTGACATGGTATTGAGCTATTAAAACCAGGGTGCACATTCAACGCGGTTCGGCTTGAGATGTTGGGAAGGGGGTTTGGAGAAAAACAGTGATTGGCTCACGAGGGGCGACAAAAAAATGATTCCGCTAGAGCTTCGGGCATTTCGAAGGTGGCGGGAGGGGGTGAAATGGCGGGAGTGGGTGAAACCAAATGGCGGGAGGGATGAAACAGATTGGCGGGAGGGGGGGGAAACGAAATTGCGGGGGAGGGGGGAAACAAAATTGCGGGGGAGGGGGGAAACGAATTTCGACGGGGAGGGGGAAATGAAATTGCGGGGGCGTGGGGAAACGAAATTGCGGGGGAGGGGGGAAACGAATTTCGACTTGAAGGGGTTGAAAGCACACCTCGTAACCCACTCAGTCAAGGGATAACCTTTGATGCACATTCAGCTGAATGTGCACCCCGGTTTTAAGATCCTAGACTTAAGTTAATGGGCCCACGATTCCCGCCCGCTGCTGCCCGTAGACCCGTCCGTCGCATCTTGCACGTGGCGAACGCGCCAGCGGGCCTGTGGCAAGCTCACAGCAGCGCGCGCCAACAACTGCCGCCAGCGCGCACGCCAGGAGCCCGCCAGCATCCGAGTCGACGGACCCGCCGTCGGATCCGCCATCGCCAGCGCCAGCACATCCGCCAGCGCAAGCACAGCCGCCCGTCACACCATTGCTCGACGTCCCGCTGCTGCCGCGTTAGTGACGGCGAGCTATGCGAGAGAGCCTGTCACGTTCCCCGTTACACCCTATCGCCCCGCACCCGTTGCATTTCCCGTCGCCCCGCTTCCCATCGCCCTGCTTACCGTCGCCCCAGCCGCTCCTTAGCCAAGCCATCGCTCTGCCCATGGCATTACCCCCGCCCCCTGTCCGTCAACCCCCCCCCCCCCCCCCCCCGTCGCCGCTGTTTGCGTGTGCAGCCGCGGTCGCTGTGAGGGGGGAGAGGGAAGAGGGGATGGGAGTGGCGGCGGAACGCTGTGGGGGGAGAGGGAAGAGGGGATGGGAGTGAAGGCAGAACGCTGTGGGGGAGAGAGGGAAGAGGGGAAGGGAGTGGCGGCAGAACGCCAGCGATGATCGCCAGCGCATCAGCGAGCGCTCCATCGCTCACGCACCGCTTGCTGCTGCAACCCGTCGCCCGTGCACTGCCTTGCCTCTCCCCTCCCGCGGCTGCCGCTGTGGGGGGGAGGTGGAGGGGATGGGGGTGGAGGGTTAGCCGCCATGAGAAGTTCCCCGTCATCCGTCTTCACCTCGTCCGCAACCCGCCCCGTCCCTGCCCCACCGTCACATCCCGCCCCCTACCGTCAGAACCTGCCCCCACTGTCAGATCACCCCCCCCTACCGTCGGAACTGCCCTCCATCGTCAGATTTCACCCCTCCCCTATCTCCCGCTCCGTTTCCTGCAGGAGGGGGAGGCGGAGGGGTGCTGGCCCATGAGGGACGGCTGGGGGAGGGGGAAGTGGTAGGGGTGGCGACTCATGGGGGGGAGGCTATGGGGGTTGCGGGGGTGGGTGATTCAGCTTCAGCACCTACCGCCACTGCACCTCCACCTCTCTTTCTCCGTCACTGCTGCTGTGGGGGGGGAGGTTCAGGGGGTGTGAGTGGTGAGAGTTCATCTGCAGCATCAGCCGCCTCCTCCTCCTCCTCTCATCCCCTACCACATACCTCCCATATCGGCCGTACTTCCCCGTGCTTGCCCCGTGCCCGTGCCCGTGTTGCCCGCCCGTGTTCCCCGTGCCCGTGCCCATGCTGCCCGCCCGTGTTCCCCGTGCTTGCCCCGTGCCCGTGGCCGTTCTGTCCGCCCGTGTTCCCCGTGCTTGCCCCATGCCCATGGCCGTTCTGTCCGCCCGTGTTCCCCGTGCTTGCCCCGTGCCTGTGGCCGTTCTGTCCGCCCGTGTTCCCCATGCCCGTGCCCGTGCTGTCCGTACCCAGTCGTGCCCCACCCGTTCCACCCATGCGTCCCGTGCTTCACGTGCTGCCCCCGAGCTTCCTGTGCTGCCCCCGTGCTTCCCATGCTGCCCCGTTCTGCCGTGCTGCCCCATTCTGCCCGTTCCAGCCCGTTCTGCCCGTGTTGCCCCATTCAGCCCGTGTCCTGCCCAGTTCTGCCTGTGCTGCCCCGTTGTGCCCGTGTTGCCCCGTTCTGCCCTTGTTGCCCTGTTCTGCCCGTGTTGCCCCGTTCTGCACGTGTTGCCCCGTTCAGCATGCGTCCTGCCCAGTTCTACCTGTGTCGTGCCCGTTCCCGTGCCGTGTTGCCCCGTTCAGCCCGTGTCCGGCCCCGTTCTGCCCTTGCTGCCCGTTCTGCCCGTGCTGCCCGTTCTGCCCGTGCTGCCCCTTTGTGCCCGTGTTGCCCCGTTTTGCTCGTGTTGCCCCGTTCTGCCCGTGTTGTCCCGTTCAGCCCGTGTCCCATTTGTACCTGTGTCGTGCCCTTTCCCGTGTCGTGTTGCCCCATTCAGCCCGTGTCCTACCCCGTTCTGCCTGTGCTGCCCGTTCTGCCCGTGCTGCCCCGTTGTGCCCGTGTTGCCCCGTTCAGCCTGTGTCCTGCTCAGTTCTGCCTGTGTCGTGCCCGTTCCCGTGCCGTGTTGCCCCATTCATCCTGTGTCCTGCCCCGTTCTGCCCGTGCTGCCCGTTCTGCCCTTGCTGCCCTGTTGTGCACGTGTTGCCCCGTTCTGTCCGTGTTGCCCCGTTGTGCCCGTGTTGCCCCGTTCAGCCGGTGTCCTGCCCCGTTCTGCCCGTGCCCCACCCGTGCTGTCCGTACCCATTCGTGCCCCACCCGTGCTGCCAGTTCTCGCCCGTACCCCACCCGGTCTGTGCTCCCGGTCTCGTGCTGCCCGTCACCCCCGTGCAGCCCGTCCCGTACAGCACCTAGTTGTTACCCGAACCCGCTACCCGTACCCGTGCTCCTCGCACACTGTGCACCTGCTGCGGGGCGTTCAACCGCAGCCAGGCACCTGTTCCACCGCGGTGGTTCAGCTGCTGCTTGGTGGTTGCTGCTTGTCAGCTTCAGAGGGGGCCCCTTGCTGGTGTTCCCACGCCCTGTAATGGGATTTTACAGGTGTACCCCTTCAAGAGGGACTATGCACATGGTTATGCACTTCAGACAGATAGGGGTTGTGTCAAAATATATTTATATCTATTTAGTAATCTGCCTGTAGTGTAGCTGTTGTATAGTGCAATTCCCTTGTATGGTGGTGCACCTCTTTCACATTTGTTAGTTTGCTATATGTACCTTGTGTGCTATAGTGAACTCATCCATTCTCGATTCTCCTTGACACCCACTTGGCACGAACTCCTCGACACCCACTTGGCCTAGGCTACTAAGCCTAGGCCCCTAGTTAAACCCGGTTACGAGTTAAATAAGTGTCATGACAGCCCCAGCCCGTCGCGTCGCCCTTGGGACGGCCGCCCCTGGCCCCTGGAGCAGCCGCCACTGCAGCAGCCGCCCCTGGCCCCTGGAGCAGCCGCACCTACAGCCGCCCCTGGACCCTGGAGCAGCCGCCCCTGCAGCAGCCGCCCCTGGTCACCTGGAGCAGCCGCCACTGCAGGAGCCGACCCTGGCCCCTGGAGCAGCTGCCGTTGCGGCTTGGCCCCGCCCTGCAGCAGATGCCGCGAAGCTCCCTGCCGCGGCCCGGCCCCGCCCTACAGCTGTAGCGGCCCCGCTGTCGCCGCCGTCCTGCGCCTGCCCTTCCCACCACTGGTGAGCACTGCCCTGCCCGCGCTGCTACCGCTGCTACTGCTGCTACTGCTTTTACTGCTCCTACTGCTACTACTGCTACTGCTTTTACTGCTCCTGCTGCTACTGCTGTTACTGCCGCTACTGCTGCTACTGCTGCTCCTGGCGTGGCTAGATGCAGCTCCACGGCCGTCCGCGTGTGTCCCTCACGCCCCAGCAGCTTCGTGAGTGGTACGCCAGTTGGGGTTGTCGGGGTGGCCGTAGTGGGAGTCGTACTGGAGTGGGTAGTTCGGGAGCTTCTTGTAGTGGCCCGGTGCAGCAGCAGCGTCGTCCGCGCGAGCCTCTTTCGCCCCAGCAGCTTCGTGAGTGGTACGCTCAGAGTAGAGGGTCGCTGAGTACTTCTCGCTGCCCGTACGTTATTAGCACGGGTGCCCGGACTGGTCAGCCTTGCGGGACGCGTGGTCACACAGAGTCCCACTGCTTCGCCCGTCTGAGCGACGCTTGGCGTACAGAGTTTGGCGACGACGCTGAGCTCCCCGACTGGGTGGAGCTACTTAGGCAGAGGGTAGATATCTTTGCTCCTGACTATGATGCTATCCTCACTGCCATGTATGCATTGTCTACTAGTGCTGCGGGTGCCTGTCACCTGTGTGTGCCGCCTGACCCCGGTATCCAGTCTGCTGCTCTAGGTACTGGTGAGGCTGCTGCTCTAGGTGCTGGTGAGGCTGCTGCTCTAGGTGCTCGTGAGTCTGCGCCCTCTGGTACTGCGTCTACTGAGGCACTGCACACCTTCACACTGGACTCAGGTGCTTCCCGCTGTTTCTTTCGTGACCGCACTGCCCTTGAGCAGCTTGCTCGGCCGGTTGCAGTCTCCCTCGCTGACCCCTCTGGGGGTCCGGTCATTGCGACCTCCTCCACTGTTCTCCCTTGTCCTGCGGTCCCGTCGGGCACACTGTCAGGTCTCTACCTCCCCTCGTTCTCTACGAACTTGGTGGCGGGTAGTGCGCTCCAGGACGGGGGTGTCCACCAGTTCACCCCTGCCTACGAGCGCGTGACACACTGCACGTGTGCTCGGACGGGTCGCCACCTGGCCACCTTCACTCGGCAGCCGGGGTCGGACCTGTACACACTGACCACTGAGTCCCCTCAGGTAGCTGCGTCTGCGTCTGCGCCAGGTCAGCTGTCGGCCCCCTGCTCGTGTCGCTCCCTGGCGCACGAGACCGTCCTCTGGCACCACCGCCTTGGTCACCCGTCAGTGCAGCGCCTTCGTGGCATGCACTCCCGGTACCTTGTCTCTGGTCTTCCCAGGGTTCTTCCCCCCCTCCCACCCTCGCCTGCTCCTCCTTGTCTTCCCTGTGTCGAGGGGCGGCAGCGCGCCGCTCCTCACTCCTCCTCGTTTCCCCCGACGACTGCTCCCCTGCAGACGCTCCACATGGACGTGTGGGGCCCAGCCCGCGTTCGTGGACAGGGTCATGAGAGGTACTTCTTGATAGTTGTTGACGACTACTCGCGCTACACCACGGTCTTCCCCTTGCGCACCAAGGGTGAAGTCCCTGATGTTTTGATCGCTTGGATCCGCGCTGCCCGTCTCCAGCTCAGCGAGAGGTTCCACTCGGACTTTCCTGTCCTGCGTCTGCACTCTGACAGAGGTGGGGAGTTTTCCTCCGACCTCTTGAGGGCCTACTGTCAGGGGCAGGGCATTGAGCAGTCGTTCACGCTTCCGGCCTCTCCACAGCAGAATGGGGTTGCTGAGCGCCGCATTGGCCTGGTCATGGAGGTCGCTCGTACCTCCTTGATCCATGCGGCTGCCCCCCACTTTCTGTGGCCGTTTGCGGTCCGATACGCTGCGCGTCAGCTCAACCTCTGGCCCCGTGTCTCCGTTCCGGAGACTTCGCCGACACTGCGTTGGACGGGAGAGGTTGGCGATGCGTCTCGTTTCCGGGTCTGGGGATCTCGAGCTTTTGTTCGCGATACGTCCGCGGACAAGCTCTCCTCCCGCGCTGTTCCTTGTGTCTTCCTTGGCTTTGTCCCGGACGCGTCTGGTTGGCAGTTTTACCACGCCACCTCGCGCCGTGTCCTGCCTTCACAGGACGTCACGTTCGACGAGTCGGTCCCCTACTACCGCCTCTTCCCCTACCGCACTGCCCCGCTCCCCCCCCCGCCTCTCTTCCTCGCACCAGGTGCTGCTGTGGTAGACCCCCTCCCCCCTCAGGGTGCCGCTCCCTCAGGTGTGTCCCAGGTAGACCCGGTTGAGCCTGTCGAGGTAGCTGTCGACTCTCGTCCTGCTAGGGGTGCTGAGCCTGAGCGTGCGGAGCCTGGGGGTGCGGAGCCTGGGGGTGCTGAGCCTGAGGTTGCTGAGTCTGGGGGTGCTAAGCCTGCGGGTACGGAGCCTGGGGGTGCGGAGCCTGGGGGTGCGGAGCCTGGGGGTGCTGAGCCTGAGGGTGCTGAGCCTGAGAGTGCTACGTCTGAGGGTACTGAGCCTGGGGGTGCTGCGATTGACCGTGCGGCGCCTGGAGGCGCTCCCTCTTCACAGCAGCTGCGTGAGTGGTACTCGCGGTACTGCAGCCTCAGGAGGGGCGCTTCTGGGGCTAGGGGTGCTGCTGGAGCTGGTGTTCGTGGTTCCCCGCCTATGCGGGAGCCGCCCTCTCCCCAGCGGCTCCGAGAGTGGTACGCTCGGCGCTGCAGTCTCCGGAGTGGCGCTGCTGGTGCTTTGGACCCTGGAGCTGGAGCTGCTGCTGGTGCCGCGGACCCTGGAGTTGGAGCTACTGCTGGTGCTGAGGACCCTGGAGTTGGAGCTGCTGCTGGTGCTGAGGACCCTGGAGCTGGAGCCGCTGCTGGTGCTGCGGACCCTGGAGCTGGTGCTACTGGCGCAGGAGCTGCTGGTGGTGCTGCTGGAGGTGCTGCTGGTGCTGGAGCTGCTGGAGACGCTGCTGGTGCTGGAGGTGCTGGAGGTGCTGGAGGTGCTGGTGCTGCTGGCGCAGGAGCTGCTGGTGCTGCAGCTGGAGGTGCTGCTGGTGCTGGAGCTGCTGGAGACGCTGCTGGTGCTGGAGGTGCTGCTGGTGCTTCTGGAGGTGCTCGTGCTGGAGGTCCTGGAGCTGCTGGGGTTGCTGGTGGTGCTGCGGGAGTTGTAGCTGGAGACCCTGGGGCTGAGGGTACTGGTGCTGTCTCTGCTGGTTCAGGAGGTGCTGAGCGGCCGCGGCCGTACTACGTTCCGCTCCTTCAGCAGGTTCTTGGCCTCCCGCCCTCTCCTGGTCCTACTCCTCCCCTACTGAGTCCACCGCCTGTCCAGTCGCAGTCACAGTTACACCGAGCCTCTCCACTGCCTGGTCCTTCTCCTTACGCTGAGCCGACGGGAGGTTTTACGGAGCGTCGTGAGCCTGAGTCTCGTCCTCCGTCGCCTGAGTCTCGTCCAGAGTCGTCTGAGTCGCGTCCAGAGTCGCCTGTCCGCGCTGTCCGCGCTGGTCGTCGTGCTCCGCGTCAGCGTCCTCCTCCTGTCCTTGGCACTCACTATATGACCCTGCGTCCTTCCACTGCTCCACAGCGTGTCCCTCTGCCGTCTCCTCCAGCGTCCTCTCTTCCTGCTCTTGCTGACCCGGAGTCTGACTCTCTTCGTACTGCCAGTCCTACTGTCACGCGTCTCCTCGCCACTGTTGCCACTGACCCTTCCTTTGAGTCCTCTGCTGCGTCTGCTCTAGTCGCTGAGCTTGTTGACTTTGCTGCCGCCTGTCGTCTAGACTACGCCGCTAGCCTTGTTGCTGAGTCTGAGTCTGTCTGTCCTCCGTCTGTCGGGGGTGAGTGTGCTCTTGGCACGGACGTCCTTGAGGACAGACAGGAGGAGTTTGAGTGCTTTGCCAATGCTTTACCTCATCTCGTGTCCATGCTGATTGCCCCTGAGGGAGACCCAGATGCACTAGACATCCCGACCCCACGCTCTTACGCAGAGGCGATGGAGGGTCCCTACTCCTCTCAGTGGCAGACAGCCATGGACGCAGAGATGGCTTCCTGGAAGTCCACAGGCACCTACGTAGACGAGGTTCCCCCACCTGGGGCGAACATCGTCAGTGGCATGTGGATTTTCAGGGTGAAGCGGCCGCCGGGTTCTCCGGGCGCGTTACGTTGCACGAGGCTTCAGACAGCGAGAGGGAGTTGACTTCTTCCAGACCTTCTCCCCGACCCCGAAGATGACCACTCTTCGG